GACCCGCCCGCTGCTCCCCTCAGCAGTGTACTTCGTCGATCTGCCTGTTCTGCTCCCCACTCTGTCTCTGGTGAATCCTCTCACCCTCCGCATTTCTGGCCCGTACCCCAGTTCTGTATGAATAAATAAATCTTTAAAAAAAAAACCCAATGTAAAAATTCATTGCTAAAGGCATGAGTAAAAACATGATACAAACACAAGTAAAAATATAACAATGAAAATACAATTGTGCTTTGAAAACTGGTTCCCAATTTGCAGTTGATAGTATTTTCCCACTTTTTTTGCCAGCGATAGCAACACAAAAATGACAGGGAAAAAATACCTAGAAAACCCAAGAAGTGTTTACTATTTTAAATGTAATTATTCTGTGTGATTAAATCTCTAGATCACTTCTGAATCATTGAAAATCAGTGCTTGATAAAGATACCACAGTCTTACAGAGAAAGGAGAGTCTCCTTAACAAATAGTGTTGGGAAAATTGGACAGCCACGTGCAAAAGAATGAAACTGGATCACTCTTTATATCCATGCACAGAAAAGAAATAACGCTAAATAGATTAAAGACTTAGATACAAGATCTACAAAATTAAATATATTACATAGGGCCCTCCTTTGTGGCACAATGGATTAAAGCACAGCACTATGAAGCTACTACAACCGAGGTGACCCACACGGTGTGACAGACCTCTCCTGGTCTACCCACTGCTCCCCTCAGCAGTGTATTTCAGTACATCTGTACATCTGCCTGTTCTGTTCCCCACTCTGTCTCTCACCCCCCTTCACCTCTGGCCTGTACCCCAGTTCTGTATACATAAATAAATAGATCATTTAAAAAAATGTATGTATGTGTGTGTGTGTGATGATGTGTTTTATGAGATCAATGATAACGATGTTTTGGGAGACTCAACCCATTTGGCGAGGAAAGTAAAAGTAAAATAATTAAGTAGTATCAACCAAATTTAAAAAATTATACAACAGACACCTCTCTGGTAGTACAGGGGTTAAAGACAATGCTACTGGCAGCCACTGCAGCATGAGTTGGATCCCTGCCAGCCAGGGAGCTGACCCACATGGAGCAGCAGACCTCTGCAGTCTCCCCTGCTGCTCCCCTCAGCAGTGTACTTCATTAGATCCACTTGCTCTGCTCCCTTCTCCCCACTCTCTCTGGTGAATCCTTTCATCATCCCCCTTCTGTCTGCACCCCAGCAGTTTTTGTATGTATAACTAAATAAATCTTTAAAAAATATATTTATACAATACAATAAATACAAGTAGATCAAAAAGATATTGTACTGATTGGGAGAAATATTTATATATTGTATAAGTCACAAGAGGTTTATATCCCAGACACATTTATAACTATAATATCCTAAAAATATGTCCTATCCCTAAGATATTAAATATATATATGCCATGTGATGGAGCAAGTCGAACTCTATTTGTATATACGAAGAATAAAACTAAGAAGTCTACATTCAAAAGGTATAGAAACCAGAGCACAGAGTTTGAAACATTAATAAATACTGATTAACAGAACTCAAATTCTTTGATGACAAGAGATTTATAGGTGATGAGAAAGTTTAAGGAGGAGATGGCAGTTATCTTCATGTATTTGATTCATCTATCATAAGAAGAAGAAAGCAATTATAAACTCAGAATAAGGATCAATGAATTAAAATATTTAGAGGACAATGTTTTATAGTTAATGTACGCTATTTTGCCTTCTTGGTTAAGTATACACGGATTATTCTTCTTGATGCTATTGTAAATGGATTCATTTTGTTCACTGTTAAAGAAATGCAACTGATTCCTTTGTATGTTGATTCTGTTTCCTGCAACTCAACTGAATTTTTAGTTCCAATAGTGGTTTTGTGGAATCTTTAGGCTTTTTCTAGCATACAAGATCATGCAACCTATGAGCAGAGATAACATTATATCATCCTTATCAATTTGGATACCTTTTATTAATTTTTCTTGGAGACTTTTCCTGGCTAGAACTTCAGGGCTATTTTGAGAAGTGATAAGAGTGTGGACCTTGCCTTGTTCTGACTCAGAAAAAAAAAAAATCTTTGCTTATCAGTGAGCATGATGTTACCCATCATAGGCTTGTTAATGTTACTAGCTACTGAGTTTTCTAGTCTCGTGTTCAATAAGAGCAAATACTTTCTTGATAGTGTAATTTTTGGCATCTATTGTGGTATAAAGTATTGATTTTCTTAGATTGAACCATTCTTTCACCTCAAGGTAAATCTCTCTTGCACATGGTTGATGAACCTTTTAAAATGCTGTTGAATTTGGTTTGTTTACTAAGGATTTTACTATAGGATTGTCTACAGCATTTTTCCTTTGTAGTGTCTTGGTCTGGCTGGGCATTAGGGTAATACTTGTAAATTGAATTTGGAAGTGTTACCTCCTCTTTTATTTTCTAGACTAATTTGAGAAGAGTGGGCATTAATTTTCCTAAAGGTTTGGTAAAATTATACAGAGGAGCCATCTGGTTA